GGTGGGGTACGTGACAGGAGAATCTCAATTCGCCGCCGCGATGGGCGTCACGCCCGCAAACGACCAATTCGAGATCGTAGACGGCGACAGCAGGCAATGTACAACCGAAAATAGTCATAAATGTCTACAAATTCGTCGCCCACGTGAAATCCGGCGCTCCAGTCGACAGGCTAAAAAGAGTAAAGAAAAAGTCGCGACCACTGCCGCGCGCGGCGGAGCAACAAATTACGGATCTCTTGCCGTTCCCTACGCGGTGGTGCAGTAGCCTTCGCTGATTGTCGTTCACTGTTTGTGAGGATGTATGCTCTTTTTTGCGCGACTGTTTAGACATTTGCCTACTAACCATAAGACCTTGTAAGCTGAGCGTCTCTGCGTCTCTGTTTATCTCGTACTTCGGCAGTGCTAGTAACCAATCGGGTCTCATCGTGGTGTTTCTTTTCGAATGTTTGTCTGCTCACTTCTCCTATGATAAGTCAGTAAACAATTGCAAACCCAATTTTAGTCCCACTACACGATTTGCAACTGCAGAAGGTGTCTTAAAGCAAAGTTCCCACGAAACTCATTACCTACTCATTAGCTGGCACTGAGATTAGTCATGCGCTATCACAAAGGATCTTCCCATAACATGAAAATGGCTAATTTGTTTACTATCATTCTATCACTAATGATTGCTTTCCCTACTAATCAACAACGAAGAGCTAGACGCTCACGGGTTGCTGCAAATTCGCTCTAGTAATTGGGATCACTGACGGCCCAGAGACCTCTGCAGACAGCGGCGGTTGCAGCAAAAAAAATGTGAAAGCCGAAAAGGCACAGAGATATTTATTTATTATGGAGAAGTTAATTGCTTGCCTAAATTATCAGAAAAACCAGAATGGGTCCGTTGGACGTCCATAACTTCCTTCCATTTTCATGGAGGCCACTGTCACCGGGACAAGTCAGAGCTTATAATTACCTAAGCTCATCGCAAGGCGAGGTAGTTAAGACTGCAGCGAACAACCAGATGTTCACATCAGGAAGCGGTAAGGTAGCGACGGTGGGGCACAAGGTTGTGAAGGGAGACGAGCAGAAGTATCGTAAAATACCGCTTCGTCGCGCGCGGCATTAAGCGCGATGTTTCCTTAATTTGCACTACCAGCATCATTTGAGCATCAACTACATGGTAAAGGACGTGGTAGACACCTGTATCCACTTTTGGTCAAACATTGTCTATTCTCGACCAATACCACCTCGAAATCGTCGTCATTAGGGGGCGCGTCGCACGCGACGCCCACTGGCGCGGCGAATAACGATTCTCTTGCCACATACCCGGTTGTGAGTGACTACGTTCGCGTTGATAGATGTCCTATCTGCTGTTTCGCTAGTTCGCATGCTCTTTCGCTGCTTTGTTTGGCCTCTCACTCAATATCTACATCGATTCTTTGTCTCTCGCATACCAAAAGTAGAGCCTTATTTGACGCGTTATCGACAGTCCCCTCTCCTTTTTCTTCACGGGCATGTCATCTAGCACATATGGTTCCGTTCCCCTACGCCCGCCGCTTCGACTAGCAGATCCTTACGTTGGCGTCCTCCAGAAGTTTGCTTTAACCATTCGTAGAACCCATTAATGGATACCTACCGGAAGCAGAACGGCTATTCTCGTTTTCCCCCTGGTCAAAATCCATCATCCGTTTGTTTCGTGCATGAAAGACCCAGCAAAAAAGGTTTTGATCACTGGTACATTTTTCCGCGGTCCTGCAGTTATACGGAAATGAGGGTTTGGGCACCAATGAATCCACCGCTCAGGTTGCAAAATCTTACAAAACAGAACCATTTCCTTCACCTCTGAGAAGGCAAAAAATCCGAGAACCACCATAAAAAGAAAAGAAAGAATAGCCTCAGTTTCTCTACCTGACGCGATAAGAGGCGCCGTAGATGCCTAGCACCCTAACACAACAGATCACCAGCGCCTCCGGCTGAGGCCATCAAGACCACAACATGGAGGGGCGCCGGTCTGTCGTCCGGTGTACCGGATCCCAAGGAGTCCACCCTTATGGCGGTCTCCTGCGGTGTGTTCAACGATGGATGTAAAGACGCCAACAACGACCGTATCCACTCTTAAACGATGCAACACTAATAAGCTCACCGATGAGCTGTCAAGCAATTACGTCATCGGATGGTTGCCAAGGAGGTGTTGTGGTTCAACAGACAGAACCTTCCGTCCTAACAACCGCCCCTGAAGCTCTGAATTCAATTGAATTCGTTATTAATGGCTCTTTTGGCGGGGGCCACAGTTCGCGTTCTCGATGTATACCCTACAAGATTAGCCGAGTTATGGCAAAGTAGTACCCAGGCGGAGTCGAAACCGCACTTCACGGCCACTTTTCGGCGTCGAAGTGCAATTACAACAATAAGCGCAACTCGCGACTGGAAAGCGTGATGGACGGCGGGTTCGAACTCCCGCCCGGGGTACGACTTTTGCCCATAACTCAGCATTCTTGTGGTTTAATTAAATTCAATTTAAAATTCCATTTCGTTTCTCAGAAAGGCATTAGAGCTTGAACCTTTCTCGAATACTCCAAAAACTTCCAAGAGAAGTGAATATGGGTAAACACTGCCACAAAGCGGCTAACGAGGCAGTAACTTCATTCATGATGCGGCATGTGATAAAAGGTGTTTTGAAATCGGATTTTTTCTTCTGGGGATCTCTGAATATTCATGGTTAACGTGACTATAAATTTAACGATGAAAACATTCAGTTTGTGAATGGATCATGTCCGGAAGTCTATAAACCGTTGATCACTGGAGGGATGAACACGTTTTATGTGTACGTGTTCCCAATACAATTCTTTTTGGGAGTGATCGGAAACGCTTTGAATCTTTGTGTGCTCCTCAGCAGACACATGAGGAGTGAGGTAAGTAAATCGTACTCCAGCTGTCGTCTTGTCACCCTCCACTACTATTTCAGGCGAATTATCTTCTCGCTGCCCTTGCGATCGCTGATATCCTGCTGTTCCTGACGATGCTGCCTGCAGCACTGGGAGTTTGGCCATCATTCTACACCAACGATTACTTCAGGTGATCACACCGTTTTGCGAGCCCTTATTTCGGAGGAGAGCGTTACGAATTTCAGGAGGTTCTACTACCATTCGCATACAATGCGTCACTGGTTTTCGAACGTCTTCTCATGCATCACTTCGTGGCTTATTCTAGCGGTTTCTGTGGAAAGGTAAGTGTAGAAACATGAAACGATTGCATTAGGAAATATGGCCCCCTAAGAAACATGTAGATGGGCTGTAGTTGACATGCGTTTGAAGCCAGTTTGCCTCTCAGTTCTCTTTTTTCTTTTAGGAATTCTTCGAATATTGCAATCGGTCCCAAGCCAAATGAGGGTGATAGAGAGAGTTAAGTCTATCCTCGTCCTTTGATGGGACTTGAAGGCAAAGCCCGCGATCATTCGCATCCAGAAGAATTAGTAGAAAAAAAGAAACATGGCGCTTATTGCCAATAGATGAACCCCATTATCGGATCTCATTTCGTTACTTTAGGCAATCGCCTCCATCTCCAACACTCCCCCTCTCCCCCTATCCACAAGCTGATTCCCCTATAGAAAACTCTAAGACCGTACAAGTGACGATTTTCATGCTTTCTCGTCCTGCAGCTTCGTTTTACACTCAGGGGTGGGCCTTCGAGGCGGATCCACTGGAAAAAGGAGGCGTCACTGAACCTATACTACGCGATGCTGATGCCCTCAAGAAATCAGGGTTCAGGAAACGGAATCAGAAAAAATACTGCCTGTTGCAAAATAAGTTCCCCCTCTTATTTTACGCAATGGTAAATAAGCTATGCACGAATGTGCAGACAGTAGAGGGGCCGCGCGACGTAATGTGGCTAAAAAAGGGAGAGTCGCGCATCATCGGCCGATTTGGCAGCCATCGCCCCGCGTCTCCTAGCCTTTCTCCATGGTCTGTATCATGCAAAACCAGTCTTCTGTCCGTGTGCGTGTTTTCGTACTGCGCGTGCTTGTCGAATTTTCGAGTGGTTTGATAGCGGCAGAAACCGATGGGCCAAGTTTGGGTGAGGAGGGCAAGAGTGCGAGAATGTGTAACTGTATTTGCCACAAATGGCCACGTATTGGAATCAGGGCGCTGCATTACACCTACGATTTACCATTAAAGGCAGTTGGCACGATAAATCCCTAAAGACGAGTAGGATTGATACGCCTGGCAGGGCGGATTTCCGCGACCCTGAGCAGGCGCTGCGTAGCGGTTTTTCCTAGGGGGGGTACCCTTATAAGGGTCCTATCAAGCTACAACATACCGACCCAAACGCCCACCACGCCCGCCCGCCCACAAATGGACGACCTTACCAGATGCTCGTTTTGCTTCATTTGCTATTTAAAATATGAAGCGAAGGGAATGGTATGAAGCGCAGTGCTGAATGGATATATGAGTACATACATGCAGCCGTACCTACCGGAGCGGTTATTTGCAATACGCCTACGGGAAACTCGTCCGAAATTGCTTTTCAAGAACGAAGGCTTTTCTTCGCAGTTTTCGACCGTTTCACTTCGTTTTTTCGCCATTTCCCACTAGATAGCGCCCTGCTAGCATTTTAGGCTGAGTACCAAATTATCGTGCCAACTGCCTTTAAAGTTCCCGAATCTCTGAGAGCGTATATCCTTTCTCTGGATACAAAATTTTGTGAGCGGATCGTGGTCCTAACGAGCCTTCTAGAAAATAATACACCAAATGTGAAGCGTATGTACAACAAACGGGTGTGCCGTCGCCGGTTCAGAATTAGACCGGATTGTTTTTTGCTCTCGCGACCTTTTAGTGGCGACGACTTCATTTAGAGCCCTTCAGAAATTCAGCCCTGCACTCACAACTCAAATTCACCCATTTATTCGACCTCGCCACTTGGTACATGAGCTGGACGTTCGTTCAGAATTGCAGTTGATAGACATAATGGCCTTTAAAACAACATTGTGTAGTGGTGTAGACAAGCTAGATAAAATTAGAGCTTTTAGCTGTTGTAGATTTGTCTCAAACTTCCTTACCTCGGAGAAGGTAATACGCTCT